TCTAATACCTCTTTAATCAGGCTCGAAGAAATTCACCTGAGAAGACGAGATGGAAAAGCAAAAGTTCTCGGTATTCTTCTCAGTTGTCTGGGTGCAGTAGTCATCGCTCTTGGTAAAGGACCTGTGCTTCTGAGATCCTTGGCTGTCCCGACAAACAATCTCCTACAGGTGCAAGTGTCAAGCGAGTCTTGGCAGCTTAGCTCGATTGCTTTAATTGGCAGCATATGTTTGGGAATCTACCTCATCTTACAGGTTTGGTTTTGTACTGACTCCTGCATTTGCATCGGTCCTTAAACTTGACATTCCAGGTTCCAATTTTGACACGCTATCCTGCTCCGCTTTCGGTTGCAGCTTTTTCTTGTTTATTTGGAGTCTTAGAGCTTGGTATTTTGTCAGCCATTTTTGAACGAGATACCTCCAAGTGGATTCTGGAGCCTGGCTCGCAAATTTATTGTGTGATTTACGCTGTAAGTTTGTTTGCATTTGGAGATGGAACAGTTCTCACTTTTCCTCGCTGCTCGCTCAGGGTTTTATTGGAACAGCTTTGGCGTTTGGAACTTATTCCTGGGGTGTTTTTCGGGGTGGCCCGGTCATAGTTGCTGTTTATCAGCCCCTGAGAATGGTTTTTACATGTACTCTTGCTGCAGTTCTTTTACATCAGCCATTTCATTTCGGCAGGTACGTATCACTTGCAAAAAAGACGTGCCCGTATCAATGATCGTTTTTTTTTCAGTTTAATTGGTACAGTCCTAGTGATTTTTGGCACTTGTTCTGTGCTATGGGGACGGGAGGAGCAACGACGAATGGCCATGGGTTCATCGTTGACTGAACATTTATGGAGCGTAAGTTTCCTCAAGTCCATGTTTTTTTCAAGTCATGTTTGATCTTTTTCTTATCACTGGCTGCAGCCTGCAGATTGATTAGCAAGAAACCTCGCGCGACAGGTAGCGAGACTCCCAAAACCTGAGAAATCAGGTGCGTTTACAGAGCGAGTTATAATCATGCTCATGAGGTGTAGAATTTTCCAGGTCAATTTATCTATAGGCCTAACTCGATCTTACTTATTCGCTATGATTCCTAATCGGGCTTTGCAACTCGTGTCAGTGCTGTACTGTTTCGCTCTATTCCAATGCAAATAAAAAGTGATCCAATCGGTGTACTTCTTCTAATGGTACGTTCTTCCTAGCTAGATACATATTATTTTTCTAAGATCCGTGTCTGGTTGCTGAAGTGTGTTCATAATCTTTCGGACTTGGACTGTTGCAGAGTACTTTGGCCAGGAGAAAAGCAACGAAACGGACGTGAAAGTCTTGAGCTCGAGGAGCTTTGCTTCTTTCAAAAACTGGTACTTGCTCTTCTGCTAGTTCTTTCAGCTCCTCTATTTTCCTTGCATTGCGTCTCTTCTAGGGGGTACTGACTTTTAAACTTCAGTAGTCATTCTCCCGACTTGATTGATGCATTTCAATTATTAAACGTAGGATTGGGAAAGCTGCATTCTTTTGTTTGTGTCTTGGAGGTCATTTGTTTTTGCATTGGTTACGGCAGTGTAGAGGCATAGGAGTTTCGTTTTTATTCCCCCGTTTTCCTCGAGGAGCTACATAAACTTTTCCTTTTCACCACCACCACCAGCATCCCGGAATTAGAAATCTCTCCTCCACATGCCAAATGTAGCTCCCGGATTGCAATTCTCCTAGAGCTTTGTGGGTTATAATTAGAAGTAATTTCTCTACTGAAAGTTGCGTTGCGGGGGTTTCAGGATTGTGAATCTGCGAGAGGAGCTACCTGGGATGTCACGCATATGTATGTATCCATTGTATGCAGGATGTAGACATGACAAGCTTTGGTATGAATGACAGGAGATATGATTTGACACAGGGGAGGAGACGAAGAAAGAACAGGACCTGTTTGTTTGGCTTGCTTTTCCGAGGCTGGTAAGCGAGCGAGAGAGAGCGATATATATATTTGAGTATTCAAGCAGGAAGGAATATGTACTTGAGACTGCTCCTCACTGCTTTTCATGGCAACGCCAGTTGAAGGTGGGACAGCACCGAACAGGACATCACATGCCTTATTGGCTTCTCCAGCGAGCGAGCAGCGGGCAGCAACATATCGAAGAGCCTCTCTCTTCCTTGGAACTGTGTGCTGCTCCTTTTCTCTCTCCCTCCGCCAAGTAAGTAATACTGGCACTGCACTGGCTTTTTCTTTTCGCATCAGTTTGCATTGTCAAATCGGTTATGTCGACGCTTGTGTGTGTGCAGGAGCAGCTCCAGCCGAATCGGACAGTTTCTTCTCGCTGGTTTTCTGACTCCCAAACACCAGCCGGCAGCACTGGTACAAACCAGCAGACGAGGCAGCAGCAGGCAGCAAAAGTGAAACCATATATCGACCGCTCGAGAGCAGGGAGATTTACTGTGACATGGACACTAGATCACAGCAGAGGCGAATTCATTGAACTTAAAGCGACCTTGGGCTCGTGTCACTGGCTCGCCTCGCCTTTGCTCTAGTGCGTGCTGCTGCTGCTTCCGCGGAAACCATGGATAGCGACTTCAGCATTCATATCCACTCGATATCCACTGTGGTGCCGGCTTCCCTCACGCGCAGATGCATCCTGCCGCTCACCAGCTTGGATTTTCTCAACAGGAATGTGGCTTGCATGCAAAGGATACTGTTCTATTCGCTCGACTTGGATTCGCTCGACAACTACGATTCCTTCGTCGACAAGCTCAAGGGCAGCCTGGCAGAGACGCTGGTCCGCTTCTATCCCCTCGCCGGCCGCTTCACCGATGGAGAGTCCGAGAAGCCGAGGATCAATTGCAACGACGCCGGTGTCCCTTTCATTGAGGCAGCGATGCTCCGAAAGTCTCTAGGCGACTTCCTCGCCTCGCCTCACTGCATGGATCTCTGCTCGGAGCTGGCTCATGTGGAGAGCTCGGAGCTTGCAGATGCTCCACACATAGCTCCGGTATCGGTTCAGGTACGCATTTAAGTTTTTTGTGATCTCCTGTCTGTCGGTACTCACTTGCTCTTTGTTTTCCATTTTATTTTTTTCTTTTCGACGACGACGACGAATGTTTTCCCAGGTGACACGATTCAAAAGTGGTGGTCTAGCGGTTGGTGTCTCCTACAACCATTTCCTCATAGATGGCTACTCCTTCTGGCACTTTATGAAGTCGTGGTCCGAAGTCGCCTGCGGACAGTCCATCTCTCTGCCGCCGGTTCACTCCCGGGAAATTCTGATATCGCAGCCGCCAGTCACTTATATGAGCTCCCTGCCTCGCTACTTCGCCATCCCCGCGACGGCCTCCATGGAGGCACCCGTCGGCTTCTCCAACATACAGCAGAGAATGTACAGCTTCTCGGCTCAGTTCATCCGGAGGCTCAAGCTCCAGGCCATGGCCGGCAGCAACGGGGACATCCAGCAGGTGTCGTCCTTCCGCGTCCTGTGTGCGCACATATGGCGGTGTCTAGTCCGAGCTCGGGGGCTCGAGGAGTCGGAGGAGACACGCTTCTTCGTCGGGGTGGACGTGAGGAAGCGGCTGGTGCCGTGCCTCCCGGATGGATACTTTGGCAACGCGGTGTGTGCTGTCTACGCCGAGTCCCGTGCCGGCGAGCTGCTGAGTCCCGAGAAAGGTACCGCTCATGGAGTCCGGATTCTAAGCCAAGCGATTGCAGGTGCCACAGACGGGAACATAAAGTCGCTGCTCGAGTGGTGTGACAAGCAAGGCAACGCTTACTTTCGAGGTGCCGACTACGCCCTCGACAACAACTTTGTGGTGGTAAGCTCGCCAAAGTTTCCAGCTTACGGCATAAACTACGGCTGGGGTGATCCTGTTGCAGTGAGGCCTGGCAAGCTAGCATGGGCCGGGATCATCACCTTCTTCACAGGTGCCAGGGGCTCTGGGGACATCGACGTGTGTATCTGCCTGGCTCCCGAGGAGTTGCGCAGGATGGAGCAAGAGCCGGGCTTTCTGTCCATGCCATGGACGCAAGCTTCCTCTCCGGCCGATCCGCAGACTTCCCAGGTGTGTGGCTTCCAAGGCTTGGCCCCTCCAAACGTTTTCTTATTGGGATGAAAAGCCAGGCAGCACTGGCACTAAGCAGCTGCTCGTCGCTACTTTGAATGCTTCAAACTTAAAAATGGATAAAGCGACCGATGATCGCATCGTCCACTCCATCGCCGTCGGCATCGCCATCGAGATAAGAATGGTTTTCTTAAAGTCTTAAAGCTGTGGGAGATCTTCTATCTTATAGTTCTTCCAGGAAACCTTTTGTGCGTTTCGATTAACTTCCTCCTAGTGTTTGCAGTAAGCACTCCACGACGAGCTTGGTGTGAAGCTCGACGAACTTCTCTTTGTTTCAATCTAAGCTTTTTCTTATATAATAATCTATGGATTCTATAATAATACTTGGTTGGTTTGGGAATTCTTCTCAAACTCAGATGCGAGGAGAATCTCACCCAGCATGATTGTGATCGAGTGGTGAGAAACTTGGGTTCTCTTCGAGGGTGTGTTGCATGGATCCCGATCATTATAAAAGAAAATGCCCCACAAATCGTACTTTTCTTCTCGCTTGCTTCTGTCCCGGTCTGCCACTGTCATAGCATAATAGCATCAAATACATCATCCTCACCGATAATAGTAGTAGTTTTATTACTATGATATAGTTTTGTTATGATCAATCTTTGTCTAAATGCTTACAGCTCTAGTGGCTAGCCAGAGGATACATATGATGAATCAAAGCTATGATTCCGGTGGCATCAAGGACAATGGAAGTTTTATCATGACACATAGACTTGGAATCCATCATACCTGTTTGAAAGCTTCTACTCTTTGGATGTTGCTGGAAGGCGCCACAAAGACCAAGGCCATTCCACGGGGTCAACGCGGCGAACCGGGCACACGCTAGCGGTCAACGGTCAATAAACGGTGACAAAGCAAAAGGGAATCTCTCTTCTCTTTTAACTCGGTGTCGGTAAAGATTTCTTGTTTGGCGGGCGTCAACCTTGCCTTGTTTGTCGCACGCCAGCATTGAGGTTTTAGGGCATGTTGGTCCGTGGTACGGTCAATGTACGCATGTAGCTATGGTGATTGGCGACCAGGTTTTGTTTTTCATAGCTGGGAGCTTCCTTTCTTCCCTCGTGCTGGAAAAAGAATCCGTGTGCTGCCTTGACTCTTGATCGCCAGCGCCATTTTAATCCGCGCGATAGCTCTTTCCAGGTCAAGGATTTCCCCAGTGGAAGGAAGGGACTGGACGACCGCGGCGGCGACGAGGATCTGGGCGCCGAGCTGTGATCTTGGCGATTTTTGTGTGGCGGCATTGGCGATTGTGGGCGAAATTTCTCGAAATATCGGGCATGGAGAAGAATCTGTCCGTCGATGTCAAGACCGCGAGGCGCTTCTTCTGGGATTTGAGCGGATCGCCATACTCCGTCCGGAACTATGGTGAGTGTCGGCCTCTTTCTTTCTTTCTCTCAGGTTTCCTTGACTCCTCTCCAGATCGATCAGCGCTTAGTCCTCAAGACGATGCTGCGATCACGATGCAGAAGACGTATCGCGGCTATCGGCGGAGGCGGCAGCTCGCGGATTGCGCAGTGATTGCCAGAGACTATGGATGGTAAGCAAGAACACTGGAACCAATTTCTACCGAGTCACTTTCCATGGCCCATAAATTCTAACTTAAAAATTTAGGTGGAACGTCCTAGAGGGAGTTATCCTGAGACAGAACATCGAGTTCGACCAGGAGCGCGAAGAAAATGTGTCCCACAAATGGATTCGTGCTAAGAAACTAGCGGCCAAGGTGAGTGGAGTAGTTGATTTTTCTCAAACTTATCTTGACCTGTGAGTTGCTTTCTTTCATCCAGCTCGGAAAGGGTCTGTCCAAGGACGAAAACGCAAGAAAACTTGCATTCGAACACTGGCTGGAAGCTGTACGCTTGTAGTTCATTTTGTTTGTTCTATTTTATGACCCGCATTCATTGCAGATTGATGCCAGACATCGCTATGGACACAACTTGCATAAGTTTTATAAGATCTGGTTCTCGAGTGGGACAACCGAGCCTTTCTTTTACTGGTATGTTTGCTGCTTCTCCCTGCAGCGAAATCTTATTAAGCTTGTGAAACAGGCTGGATGTGGGAGAGGGCAGGCAAGTCGAGCACGAAGATTGTTCTAGAGCGAAGCTTTTCAAGGAACAGATAGATTATCTTGGCCCTGTAAGTGCTTGCGAACGCGTGGTCGCTCTATTTCTGACTAAAAGTCGTGTCTTTGACAGCGGCAAAGGAAAGAGTATGAAGTGTCGATAGAAAACGGGGTGTGGAGATACTTGGACGGGAAGATCATTGACACCGGCGTGGTGGACGATGACGACAAATGGATATTTGTGATGAGCACGACTGGAAGGATATACGTAGGCCAGGTACTTAGTTTATGGAGCGCCTTTGCGCCAGGGAGTTGACATATGCTTTCATATGCGCAGAAAAAGAAAGGGAAATTTCAGCACTCGAGCTTTCTAGCAGGAGGAGCTGCCACAGCGGCTGGCCGACTGGTTCTAATGAACGGCATTTTGGAGGTACCAAATAGTTAAGTTCCATAGCTTGGAAGCTCATGTATGATGTGTTTGTCGACAACAGTTGCTTGAAGCTCACAGCGGCCACTACCGGCCGGCCGAGGAGGATTTCAGATACTTCCTCAACACTCTCAAGGATAAAGGCGTGGACATGTCCAGAGTGAAGGTAACAAGTCTACTTCGCAGCGCTCAACGTTCATCACTGTCGTCCAAATTGTTTGAAATAGGTGGAATACTCTTCCCGCGAGATGAAATCTCACAAGCAAAAGTCAAAGAAGAAGTTGCCCAAGGCCAACAAGGATTCCGTTAGCGATGAAGCAGCGAGCCTGGCAACGACTTTTGTGGAGGCATTGAGCCAGGAAGCGTCAAAGCCGGAGGAGACCCCTTCCCTCCTCACTCATGTAGACGTCAACGGCAACGAGTGTAATGGAAATGGAGATCTGCACAAGCACATGAAGCATCGCCCTCCAATGCTCGAGATCAAGCGAAATGGCTGGTGCTCCGAGGGTGGAGCACGGATCACAAGCCTCTCCGTCATTCCACCTGATCGTCGAACGAGAGCTCTCGACGCCGTTTCAACCCCGCGGGTCCTGGCCACTGTTCGCTGGTAATAACTGGTCAGTAAGCTCCATCTTCCTCTCATTTTCTCGTTGCTAGTAGCTTTCAGCACTGATGGTGGAACTTTTCTGTCTCTCCTTTTCAGATTGCTACAAGATGTTTTGGCAGCTTGTGAAGGTGTACATACATTGTCATCTCTTTCAGGAATTTCCAAATCAAACTTTTCTTCGAACACATCGCCATCTCTCTATAGGTGTTGAGAATTTTCAATCAAGCTCATCCTTTGAAAGATAAGAGTACTTGCGTCAAACCAGGAAAGATATACTATACTTAAAGTGAAGGAAAGCCACTTCGTTTTCGTAACACTGGACTCCTTTCCAATGACAAGCCAAGAGCACAAGAAATGCGTGGAACACGATCGAAATGCGTGCCTGGAGCTTATCAGATTGGGCACGACACTATCCATGGCCAAAGACGCCGGAGGAATCTCTCGTTTGATCCTGGCATATAGGGCATTTTCTGTGTGCAAGAGAGATGCTCTGTAAACTGCGTCTTGTAGACAGCGATGCTGGTCGCTTATGTTCGAGCTGGAAACTGGCAGAGAAAATATTTGAGGAAATGGAGGAACGCAGTGTTGTCTCGTGGGGAGACAAAAAGGAAGATAGTGCTAAGAAGTGATAAAGTAGTGTATAATGCCAATAAAAAGCTACTAAAGCACAAGAGGCATTGGCTTTACCACAACACACTTATAAATTATTTTCGTTCTTTTGGTCATTTCTCCATCATCAGGTCTACTTACAACCCATCCTACCTCTAACAATATGATGCATGCCTTTATAAAAGTAACTTAAATTTGCACTTGATACTCCTCAAATTCATTGAAGAACAAATGAAAATACTCACAAGACCAGTGTTGCTAGTGGTTCATATTGTTTGATTTGAGGTCTTTGGAACTAGATCCCCCCATTTTGAGTGTCATTTCAGCTAGAGCTAAACTATGGAGTTCTAAAATTCCCACTGACACAAAAATGCCTCAATTTTATCTCCATATGGAGCCATTTGCACTTACGCTTTATATAAAAATATTTTAAAACGTGTATTTTAATTTTTGTGACTGTTGCATTTGCACTTTAGTAGTTTTTAGGTTGTTTTAAGCTTTAAGTATGCATTTTAAAACATTTTCATTCCCACCTACATAAGTTTTTGTGATAAAAATTTAACGTAAAACATTAGTGACTTTGCACTTGACTTACTTTAAAATGTCTTTAAAATATGCCAAGATTCGAGAGATCGACATCTCCACGGCCTCAGCCCTGAGGCGGCCTGCCTCCTCGAGCAACAGCTGGGCCTAGTGCTCATCCTCCAGCCCCGAATGCTCTTCCACCACAGTTGCTCCTCACTCCACGAGGAGCACCTCCTCACTGGATGCCACTGCCCCGAACTTGCACCATCTCCTTGTTAATCCCCAAAATCGGCTGCTCCTCCTTCCTCCACTGAATCCCCAATAGGATCTAACCCTAGGGTGATGACTGTTGTCAGCTCCCCTGCCATAAAATGTTTGAGCTCACGGCAAAAAACTGAAACGCCTTAATTAGGGCACTGGAATCTTTGGGGAATCTCAGAGATTCCTTTTAAAAATATTTTAAGTTTAAAAGAACCCCCCCCATCTTTTAAAATCGGTCTGAATGTTTTAAAAAGTGAAAACATTGTGTTAAAGTTAGCACTATGTGCAAATCAAAATGTTTCAAAAAAATATCCTAAATTTTAATGTAAAGTAATTTACTTTATTTTAAAACATAGTGCGAATGTATTCATCACTTAAATTTAACACATTTCAAGAATAAAGAGCAGGTGCAAATGGCTCCTATGGATATCTTCCCAAACCCCCACTTGCATAGAAGTGTGACCACACCAATGCTATAACTCTTATTATTGTCCACCAATTATAATCCTCTACTATAAGCATAGGATTTGAGCCTAGGACCTCAAGCTTATCTTTGGTGATAATTATTAGTTTTTTTGAAACTAATTGTGCTTAAATATAAGTAAGTAATTACTAATCTCACAGTGATTATAATTATGATATTAAAATTAACATTATTAAGAATTAATTTGAAATAAATAAAATATAAAATTAGCAAAATGTTCTGGAATCCCATACAAGTTCTACTTTAGGATTAGTGGTAAAAGTTTTCTGATGCGTAGTATATAAAACTAAATTACAATTATTTTGCATAAATAAATATGTATCTTTAAAACAATTTTGATAAGTGCAGTATGTATTTGAAGCCCAAACAACTCTATTATTATCAGAGTATAAAACTAAATTTCCATCTTCTTGTACTCTTAAAATGCAATTCATTCCTTCAATTAAGTTTTCTGAAGACCATAATTTATTATTTCCTTTATATATATGTAATTTACAATCAATACTTAAATATAAATAAGCCTTTCTATTTGAAGAAATTAGAAATTGTGTTGATAATAAATATTGATGAGGCATATTAGTATATCCACTAATTAAAATACTTGAAAATATGCTGCATTTTGGATGTTCTAAAAACATTTGTTGTCTTCTATTTTGTTGATGATTATAATCTCTAACATAATAATAAATATTAAAATACTTATGCTTTAAAATAATAAAGGAAGCAGCAAAATTTAACATCTTTAAAGTAGAATCTTGTAAACGTTTATTA